GCTCTCTACCCTCTAACGTGCATGAAAGTGTGGTTGCGTGTCCATTAATACGATTGGTTGGCACACATTTAACCCTTGATTTCTTTCCTAGGCTACCGGCATTGGCACGCAGACCTCCGACCTGATGACACTCCACTAGAGGCCGGTCTAGCCTTTACCTGCAAACTGAAGTCAAACATCCCATTTTTGGGAAGGGAAGCCTTGGAGAAGCAGAAGGCTGAGGGTATTCGGAAACGACTTGTTGGATTCACAATCAATGAGTGAGTAGAATTTAACATGGATCTCTATAATCCGAGTTCTATGTAATCACTGTACTTTGGCGTGCAGTGTTGACCCAGAAAATAAGTTTAACACCCAAAGTCTCCGTATAATAATTTAATACTTTGCAATAAGCAAAATGATTTTCTTTTCAGTCCTTTTAAATTCCAAATGGCTTTATTTATCACCGTCTCGTGTTCTTCTGCAGGAGAGTGCCGCTATTTGGCTTGGAGGCAATATGGCGGAATGGGGTTGCTGTCGGACACATACGGAGGGCAGACTTTGGATTTGCAATAAACAAAACTATAGCATATGGGTATATCCGAAACCCTGAAGGGGGAGCGGTGAGTACTGACTTACGAATAATCCTTATCTCCTGGTACCATATATCTATTGACCAAGGTAACATCACATCTAATGGTAGTACATCAATATTCCGCAAAATATCCACAGCTTTTTATTCCCCTCCCCCCCCCCGCTCCTTCTTACCATTTTATGGCTTTCCTTTTTAGTGTATATATTATCGGTGCCAGCATGGTTATTGTGGTGTATCAATTTTATTACATCAAAGGTCCTTAAGCATAAGTGGTCATGTCTGCAAGCTCATCAGCCCTTAGGTTACAAAACAGACACCAATACACACATTATAATAAATGATATAGTGTCCCTTGCAATAGTCACAAATAAAAAAATGGACATTGAGCTGCCATAGCCAAAAAAATTAATTCTGCTAACACCAGCCTTCACAATAACCATAAAATGTAACTTACGTCGGATGTATCGTGGGCTAGCTAAGATGGCATCTGACATCAGGAGCTCCTTACTATGTTTTGGTAAGTAACACTGGGTGTATGAAAGTCCCTTGGGCACGGAAGCGCGTTCTGGAGGTCAATAACTCTGGTGGGTCCCTGGGGTCTGTCTGTGTCATCTGACATTAATATCCTGGACAATGTGAGGTTAGTTAATGTTAATGAAGACCTGGCCACCTTTATTAGCAGCCCGTGCCACATAGCGTTTGAATGATTGTACACATGACGGGATGCAACCATTGTACTATAATAAACGTGTGAACGGCGGCCCACCTTTGACCTGGGTTACCCGATGGCAATTCAGGGTCTGGCTAATACTGAAACCGCAAATTATTTAAAATGGCAACATTGAATGAGCACAAGGCTTTACAGTCATTCAGAACCCATCATCACACCTAGAACCATTTTAACCTTTGTGTAAAGATTGCATTTTCAGGACTGCAACAGTACCCGAGGGGTTAAAGCTGAACCTAAGAAAAGAAAAGACATGGAATAAAACTGATTTAGAACAATCTTGCAAATTGACGTGAATTTGTGTAAAATGCCTGTAAATAATGTACTCCCTATGCCTCCCTCCCCCCCCAAACTTGAAGGCAAATGACGTGAGTAGCATTCTATTTTAAAGAGGGTACAACACCATGTACCGGGCTCCGAAACACACTCTGTATTCTCTATTTTTGGCCCATCTCAAGAACTAGCTAAAGCTTCAGCAGTGATAGGTACAGAGGAGGAGGCAGGGGGGCTCAGTGTGATTTTCCTTTGGATCCTGTAGGCTCATGCAGAGTAAGAGGATTCAGTGAAAACTGTCAGAATCGCAGTGAAATTGTCAGAGCTCCTTTATGCGGTGTCACTTACAATGCTTAATTAAAATACTCCGATTTTCCTTCCTTAACGCCTTTCTGCTGTTTACTGTATACGTTTCATAAATGAGGCTCATTATCACCTTTAAATGTTCGCGGTAACCTTAATGTGTGTCTGTGAAGTAATACATTTAAAGCGTCTGAGCTGGAATATAGGATACGTTTGTCTAAGCGATAAAATCATGGCTTATGACATACCCAACAGTCACCCTGTGTTTGCTGGCTGTAGCAGTTCCGCAACTTTTGATAGCTGGGAATACTAGGAGTTCAGCAATAGTTACAGAGTTGTGGGTTAAATTCTCTAGATACAAAGGGATGGGTTAGAAAATGGCTCAATTTCTGGCCATTAAAAACACCAGCTGCTGCGGAAGCTGACGTGATGGTCGCCATTCTGCTTCTAGTGATTGGCTGACCGCCCAGGTAAATTGCAGAGAGATCCATCTACCTGGAATGTCATAGAACCTGTGTCTTCACCACCAGAAACGTGCAGAGCACATTGCTCATTGATCCAGTTGGACTTCCTGCTTCCAGGAATACGAAATTCAAAGTTTCTGTGAATTTAAATCCAAATGCCAAGGATTAAGCTGCTCCCATCAACCTGTTTCTAGAGCTGCATTTTACTAAAGCAACTATTTTTACCTACATTTTGTTATGCAGATTTCTATTGGCTACAGTTTGCTTTTATATAAATATATATTTTTACTTTTTACATTTGTTGCATAGTTTTTATTTTCAGGCAGAATCAATGTTTCATCAATAGAACATTTTTTTTTTTTTTTTTTAAATACAAATGAAGCAAAGCTTTAATCGACACGCTGTATGGCGTACCTAGTCCTAAGCAAATTCTAAAAGAATGTTGAAGTTTCTAGGTGCCTCCAGCCACTGTATAGAATATAGTGACCATAACCATAACTTAACGGTATAGCTGGATTGCTAAAATATGTAAATATCCCATAATCCTCTATCTGCTGCTTTCCATGCTTTTTCTGCCTGGAGTTTGAGATTTGCAGTCCATTAACCACTACATGCCCTTCAGTGTTAATATTTATTTTTTCTTCCTTTCACAGGTCACTACGGATTTTGTCCGAACTGGAGAATACAAATTGGAGAGAATGGGGGTCACATATCCCGCTGAAGCCCACTTAAAGTCACCTTTTGACCCAAACAATACGAGAGTAAAAGGACTTTATTGAACGGCGCAGATAATGACTTATTGCCGCAGGACGCTTCTCGGTCAGATCTCTGATGGTCTAACTGGCGATATCCCTGACAGTAAAACTAGAATCCAATACTTAAACCTCTTCGTTCCTGGAGGTTATTGATTTATATACTAATGACTGCTTTTAGACATGTAGAAAACCCCTTTTTATCAGCAACAAATTGAGAGATAAATGTTTGTCATATTGTATTTTCTTACAAGGACTGCTTTTTACAGAACTTCCCAAAATATCTGCATTTTTTTGTCAAACAATACAAAGCATGTGCTATACCTCCCTAAAATCTAGAAATTGCTGATGGGAGTTGATCAAAATATTTAAATAGGAAAATTAAAAGAAGGGCTGAATCACTCCTTCTATGATAAATAAATCAAAGCCTAGTGACACTAAACCGGTTTTATATGGTCTGAAATAAAAATGATACATTTCTAGGTTCATTTCCCAAAATGCAAGACGCAAGAGACCGGACTGGTCGATCCCTGGAAAAGTGTCAATATTTATTGCGCTCTAGTTTGTTCCTCTATGCCTGTGACCAACGGGTAGCTGAATATTACAGTAAATGTAGGTAAGTGGGGTGCCAAGGCTGCCCATCACTGTTTCAGGCAAATGTTTTGTTTTTATTTTTTTTGGGGGGGGGGATATGTTATTTTTCCAACTGACCATCAGTGTCCCAAATTCTTCCCTAGTGGTACATATTTTATTGCTATGTATTTCCACGTCCCTGTAACGGTTGTAAAACAAATAAGTAATCGAAATGGCCAGTCAAAAAGGAAGATGAGAACGTTTAATATATGTAGCAATTTGTCATGAAAATAAAACATAGTTTCTTGTGCTGTAGTCCTTGTGTACATGCCACGTCTGCTTTAACTGAGGAGACAACGTGGAAAGTTACCCAGAGAATGAAAAATATCACTTTACATCCACTAACAGAACTTTAACTAAAACAAAACAAGGATTATTCTCTAAACGCTGAATTTTAGCAAATTTAAAATTGCGATTGGAAAACAGAGATTGCAATAGCGGATTTGGAAACATTCTCCTGCTTGACTATATATATATCGTTTGGCTATTTTGACCTGAATATTTTCATTACATAACTCAGAAAGATGTGGTGTTTATTGAACAACTCGTTTAGTATAATTATATGGAAATACACATTGTACTGGGGGGAATGGGGGGAGGTGGGAGAGTAACCCACAGCCGCCCCCCCCCAAGCCTTCTAAACAAACACAATGTGCAGGTTTTCCGTATTGTTCCGACACTGCGGGGGCTGCAGCAAGTTGCAGGAACGTGACTGCTATGTGATTATCGTATTGAGCAGGTGTTACGTTTGGCTGATCTCTTCAAGCTGCCTCATTGTACGTTCTGAGGGAGGGGGTCCCGTAGGTACAGCATTCCCAACAATATGCTAAAAGTCACCCCGGGGTCCTAACCCCCCCCAACACACTCTGCATTCGGAAAAAAAGGCGAATCCCAGCAAGGATTCTTATTGTTTATTATGCAGCATTTATCTTTAATAAATAGAAAATATGTTTTGCTATCGTTTAGTGTTGATATAAAACAAAATAAATACTTGTGTTTAATGACAGTCATTAATCCTCCTTGTATCCATAGAAACATGCAGAAAATGCCTGTTTTAAAGAGCTTGCACTCTAACATTCAATACAGAAGAATCCATATTTATTATCCCTGGCAGGATTATTTTATTGCTAATAGATGGTAAATATATTTTATTAATACGGCTATTGCACATTGCCTATTTTATATGTGAACCACAAACCCCCATGGAAGGTGGGGGGGGGGGATTTTTATCATTAATACAAACATTAAATAAATTAAAAACAGCCTCTTAGTTTTGATCTTTCAACTGTTTAGTAGATAACTCCCTGATTTGCTGTCCTTACGTGGGAATACTATATTTAAGGATACCAAGTGATGGACCTACTCACCAAAAAGCTGAAAGATCAAAATTAAGAAAAGCCCTTTTTCTTTTGCAGTTGTTCAGTAGATAACTCCCCAATTTGCTATCCTTGAATGGATCTGAAATGCTTTGCTTCAATTAGTTATGAATCCGATTCGGAATGAAACAAATTGCGCAAGTCTAGTGAAGTCATGAACAATCATTGCACTGAGAGATAACGGACTACTGGTTGCAATCATTGTTTAACCCCTTAAAGACACATGGCGGAACTATTCCATCATGATTCCCTTTTATTCCAGAAGTTGTGTCCTTAAGGGGTTAACAGTCCTGTCATTACATTACAACCAGACAAAAAAGGACCAACATTTTTATTCTCCATTAACAATCTTTAAAATGCAAGACGATGCTTCTTTCACAACATGTGAGCCCACAGCGGGAAAAAAATAATATAATAAATGTAAACTTTTTCAGATGACTGCATGAAAACCAAAATACCAATATAATCTGCAACGCCTAAATATCCAAATTGAGCAGTTTAACCTTTCAAAGATTCCTTTGCCTTGAACCAAATCCCAGGACGCAATCGCTGTGCATCTCTTACCAGCTGTCTGAGTATTTATTTCCATATATTATCAGCAAACACAGACACAAATATGAAAAAATATTGGTCGCCTCAGGTCTACAAAATGGTAAGTGTTTCGTAGACGCTTCTTCTAGAACAATTGATCATGAATTCCTTACGGCTGTATCTGTTATTTACCATGATTCATGGAAAGCCCCGTGCAAGCCTTTGAATAAAATGTACGGTTTAGCAATGAGAGGAATGAAACACAGACACTTGACCACAGTGCTCCTCAACTCTCCCCGCAAGGCCCACCGAAAAGTCCACGATTTAGAGATTACTGGGTGTGTTTAAAAAAAAAAAAAAAAAATAGAAACACAGACTTCAGGTGTTTCTTTGCAGTTTGCTAAACACATTAGACACACCCGGGTAATCCCTAAATCCTGGACTGTTAGGTGTGCCTTGAGGAGAGGATTGAGGAGCACTGCTTTACCAGGCGGGAACCTACCGCCTCGAGTAGATTTGCTTATCCACGATGTAGCCAAACATAGATCGTCATTACAATCTGACATTATTTACGGATCATAATCTTTTCTGAATTTCAGCCTGTAACATGCAACGAGTATAAAAGTGATCGCAATCCAGATCTTAATATCATTTTTCTGATAGTAAAGGCGCCAAAGACAGAAAACGTTAACATGTAACTAAGTTTTCAATGTTGTGCCCGTTAGGCTGAAATCACGAGGTTAAAATCAAAAATTTTCGCTTCTCAAGAGGTTTCTCAGTTAAAGACAGGTTGAAGGTCACAGAAAGCCTGTGTATTGATGATTTCAGTTGAAGAGATGTGTCATTAACCCAATATGTTCGGTGTGTGGTGTAATTGATTAACAAGGTATCATTAAGTTAAGGCTGTATGTGGATATTACACTGTCAGGAGAAGTGTTTGCAGTGTTCATTCTGCGCATGCACAGACATTACGGATTACTGGTTACCGTTAGAAAAAGTGCTAAGTCCTTTTCAAGGTGTTGAATTTGCTACATTTTCAATGGTTCTGTTAAAGCAGGCTTCCCAAAACTCCGGCCCTCCAGATGTTGCTGAACGACAACTCCCATGATTCTATGAATGAAATAGGCTGAGAATCATGGGAATTGTAGTTCAGCAACATCTGGAGGGCCGGAGTTGGGGAAGCCTGCGTTAAAGTGTCCATAAACCTTCTTCAGGGCCCTTTTCTCCGATCGGATAGTGATAAACGTTTTGTCATAATGAATCCCACGATTTGATTATACGTCAGCATCATCGGCATTAATATGTCAAATTCAGTGTTTAATAAACTAATCAGTCACGTATGATGTGCCTATACCTTTGTGAATATCACTGGGTTCACACACATGGACTCGGTGGTAACTATTCTCCCTTTAATTCTAGATTTTCCTTGACGGCTCCCGAATGTAATGTTGGTCTTTATTACCTTCTGCTCCCAAATCTAAAAAGAGCCATATTCTATATTTCATTCACTGCTCATTCTGGCCATCCATCCAGGCCATTATTAAACCCTTTTTAAAAATATAAACGCTACTGCAGCTGCTGGGAAGCCATTCCATGCACCAACAAACGCTACCTGTAAAAATCAACTATTACATTTAAATTCTCTCCATACCTTTTCTATTTCAAGGAATTATCTGCTAATCTCATACTTTTGCTAAATCGATTTATATTTAAAAACATAAATTTTTATTCTAATTGATTAACACTATATTTAATATATTTTTTCTAGTCTGCAGAAGAATGCACAGAGAATGCAATATATGTCACGAACTGAGGTTTGTTAGCCATCCTATTCTGGCAAATGGTAAACTGCAGATAAATACTTTTTATATTTTCAAACCAGAAGAAGACATGTTAGCGCTACTCATTAGACCGGACATTTTGTTACACTTAGTACCCAATGTCAGACTCCAGTTTGGAAATGATCCGTGCAGGGGAAGGCAAGGCAACCTTCGTCAGATATTGTGAAAAACATATCGGATAATGCTCTCAGAGTGATAATTCTGGCAAAGCATCAGGGGATATGTAGTTCACAATAACAGGAGTGCCGAAAGTTGCTTACCCCTGCGTTAGTGTCTTGTAAAGATCAAAGCCGATACTTGCCGCATGCTCAGCAATAATAGTCTGCAGAAGCAGAGGAATTAGCAGTTTATAACCAGGACTATAAATTTATCTCAGAATTTTAAAGATTTGACAAGGTGGTCTATGTATCCGTCCCATATTCCCACAGGTAACAGCAGCTCGGTGTGCACAGTGTAGGAAGCAGGGATTAAAAAAAAAAAGAAAACACGTAATATTTTATTTATTGGTAGAGATTCAGCGATGCAGAAAATCAGATTATTAGTGGTTGCCGCTTTGTAGATCCATATATACATACAGGAGGGTATATTTAATCCTTCATGTGTTTGAAGGGTAAGAAGGGGAATAGATTGCTAATTTTTTCCCCCAATTACTTGGTGCTTACTGATCACTGCATGTGAAGGAACAACTACAGACACTCTCACATTAAAGGGACACTATAGTCACCAAATCAACTTCAGCTTAATTAAGCTGTTATGGTGTATAAATCACATCCCTTCAGTCTCACTGCTCAATTAGGAGTTAAAACTATGATTATACAGCCCTAGTCACACCTCCCCTGGCTGGGACGTACACAGCTTTCCTAAACGCTTCCTAAAAAAGATTCTAATTTTTCTTAGCTTCCCTTACTCCACAATGTGTATAATTTAGAATGTCTCACCTCCTGCTCTGTTAATTGCCTATTAGAGAATGCTGCAGCCTCGTGTGTGAGTAAAGTTCAATTAACAGAGCAGGAGGTAAGAACTGCTAAACATTAAAGAACTAATAAACATTAAGTAAACATTTTCAGAGCTATTCACTAAGAGTGAATCCAAAGTGAGTTTCAAATTTAAAGCTGATCGGGAAGATTAGCTAACTTGGAGCCTCTGGCTCTCTGTGTGAATTGGAGGGGGAGCAGCGGACTTTGGGTTAGGTTTGACTACTTAGAGTGGTTCCGCAAGGGAACTGATGCTGGCACCATAACCACTACAGCATGCTTGGAGTGTTCATTTTAAGGTAAAATAGCCGAAATGTGTAAATTTTAGAAATCCCCCAATGTGGGGGGTGAGGGGAGCTCTTATGATTGGTCCTGGTTCTTGATGTTAACCAGCTCTGGTCCTGTGGACCCGGAGTGTTTCTGGGATTCGCAGCTGGGCGTCACTGAACGCAACTTTTTCGTGACCTGAGGCACAGGTTGCATCTCCCATTCTCCCTAAGAAAACAAATAAAAGCAAGTGTACATGTCATTAAATCAGCTCGTTGGAGATATAAACTTTTCTGATAGATTAATTAACAGATTTCACTACTGCAGCATCTGAATTCTGCATACTTCAGGGCAGAGTCTTTCACGTCCTTCCCATCAAGAAGAGGATGTGCGGAGGACAACATGGCGGATTTGGCTCTATCCTCCTCCCAACATTCACTGCTATCAGGGTTATTCCCTTTACTCCATTAATAGTGATTTAAAATCTTAATGGCAAAACAAAGCTAAGCTAGGTGTGAATATAGTGTCAGAGTTTCTCTAAATGACCTTGATTTTTAGATTTCAACTTGCTACAGTTTGGAGTTTAGTGAATAAACAGCGAGGGATTCTAAGAGGAATTGTGGGAAATTTATTGCGTGGCCCTTTAGGTAGAGTTGGTAAAAAAATAAATATATATTAAAATGCTTCTAATAGAAGCTCTGATGCGGCCTTGTGCCGTAAAGCGCACTCCTACGGTCAACGGAAAATATAAAATAAATGTTTCAAGCAACATGTGACAAACTGGCAACTTGCCTATTCTGGTCTGAATTCCGCAATTTTGAAATAACCATTTGCCTATATTCTATGTTAGATCACTGGGAAAAATAATTTCATCATCACAACATTTTCATTAACCCCTTCACTGCCGATATATTTGAGAAAACCTACCAACCGGTATGTATACATTTGTTCTTTACATCAGTATATACAAAAACATAATTCAATCATAATACTACAATATTTTTCTTGAAGGGAAACTCCAGGCACACAGACCACTTCTGCCCATTGGAGAGGTCTGGGTGCCATCTCCCACTACTCTTAACCCTGCAAGTGTAATTATTGCAGTTTTTTATAAACTGCAATAATTACCTTGCAGGGTTAACTCCACCTCTAGTGGCTGTCTACTAGGCAACCACTAGAGGACACTTTCTGCATCATAGCACAGAAAAACCTGTGCTAGAGCGTCGCTGGACGTCCTCACGCTGTGTGAGGACCGCCAGCCTCGCTCATTTCCCCATAGGAAAGCATTGAAAAACATCTTCAATGTTTTCCTATGGGGAGCTCTAATGCGCATGTGCGACACTGCCGCGCCTGCGCATTAGGTCACCCTGGCCAGTGGGCGGGATCAGTCTCGCCCACCGGCCGACGTAATCACTGGGAGGAGCTGTGGCGGAGGAAGAAGCAGTGACGTGGGACATGTTGCTGCCTCTGGTAACTCACTGAAGGGGTTTTCACCCCTTCAGCAACCGGGAACTGGGGGGTGGAGTTTCCCTTTAATCTTTGTTTAACATACAATTGCAAAAAGCTGGAATGACGAAGTTTAAAGGGAAACTCCAGTGCCAGGAAAAAAAATCAGTTTTCCTGGCACTGCAGATCCCCTCTCCCTCCCAACCCCCAATCTCCAGTTGCTGAAGAGGTGAAAACCCCTTCAGTGACTTACCAGAGGCAGCGACATGTCCCACGTCGCTACTTCTTCCTCCGCCGCCGCTCCTCCCAGTGATTACGTTGGCCGGTGGGTGAGACTGATCCCGCCCACCAGCCGGGGAGACAAAATGCGCAGTGCCACGCATGCGCATTAGAGCTCCCCATAGGAAGGCATTGAAAATGCTTTTCAATGCTTTCCTATGGGGAAATGAGCGACGCTGGAGGTCCTCACACAGCGTGAGGACGTCCAGCAATGCTCTAGCACAGGTTTTCTGTGCTATGATGCAGGAAGTGCCCTCTAGTGGCTGTCGAATAGACAGCCACTAGAGGTGGAGTTAACCCTGCAAGGTAATTATTGCAGTTTATAAAAAACTGCAATAATTACACTTGCAGGGTTAAGAGTAGTGGGAGATGGCACCCAGACCACTCCAATAGGCAGAAGTGGTCTGGGTGCCTGGAGTGTCCCTTTAATACCATAATACGGCATTTTATAGAAAGGACACAATTTTTCAAATTATTAAAATGGTTAAAAAGGGACATGGGTTATGAACATATTTCTCTGCCACTCGTGTTTACACGTTATTGAAAGTAAAAGGGTTAAATATCCCATTATAGAATAAGAAATCTAACTTAATTGATCCTAGGGGTTAAAGGTCTCTTTGTTAATAAACAGATGGCAAGGCCAATCTGACAATCTGGCGCATGCTCACCGAAATCCTTGTCCAGTCATCCAATGACTGCAAAAAGTCCATCTTTCATTTTACTCAACATAAAATTTAAAGTGCAGTTACATTTCCATCAAACATCTTCCTACAGAGACCCGAGAGAAAGGGATAGAAAACACCTTTTTTAATTCTGATTTAAAAAAAAAAAAAACTCACAAAAAACCTGAAATCTTAAAATTCCGCCCCCTCTCTAACAAGAGTGGGATCCTGTGTTTATATTCTCTTACGGCGTGGGTAGAGTGCGCATTAATAGTGTTTATCCCAAAAAGATCGCTTGTTCCTTTCCTGACTGGAAAACATTGCAACCGACAGAGTGAAAACAAAAATAGATACAAAGAAAATGGAAGCAGAATATGCTCTAGCATTTCATAGCACAGAAAATAATGGGTTTATATTCTATTGATTATGGGCACAATATACTCTTTTAGTATTAA